CTGACCTGAAATTTGTAGCTGTGCCTATCACAGAGAGCCTTTATAGACAGAAAGCAGATAGGAACCTGGCTCGCTTGCGGAATTCACCCCAGTGGGTGCAGGAGTTTGCTAACTTGGAGAACACTTTGGGGAAAATGGCAACAGCTTGTCTTTGTTGACTAATGAGACTCTAATCATGAGCTAAAAAGCAATCAAAGAATGATGCCAAGCACACGTGTCAAATTCAGACCTGTACTGCTCTGAACACTTAGGGCATTGAATTTGCTTACTCCTCTCTGTGATCCACATCTCATTCTGCCCTCAGCAGCAGAGCAGAGCCTCCAGCTGGGCTCCTCACCAAGGCCAGGCTGACACAGCACTGCTGCTCTCCATCACCATCTCTCCTTCTCCTAGGCCCACAAAAGCATCACAGCAGTGAGCCCCAGGAGAGCCAGAGCTGCCCTTGAACGCATCCCCCAGGAACAAACCTACAGGCACATTGTGCTAAGTCTTCTGTATCTTGGTGTCAAATTCCCTAATCGTTGCCCTTTTCTCTTCACACAAGAAGTCTCCGTGTGGGACCTCAACACCTTTATCTTTATGTGAATTCTCCTAAAAAAGGATCCGAAGAGATGCCTTTTTTTTAGCCAAGCGGCCTTGAAAGCAATATTGTTTTCCAAGAAGGAGTTTTACATGCCTTTGATAATTCCAGAAGGGATTTATGTAGTTTCTTCCAGTTCCTTGTAATGCTGCAGTCACAGCTTAAACAGAAAAACAGCTTCAGAGACAAACAACCTGTTAGATGAACCAGAAAACAAGCATTCAGATGCGTTAAATGAAGTTTACTTATGGGAAGCCTGGACTCAGATTCAGCAGGATGGGAACCTATAAAACCTGAAAGAGACCAGGAAAGAAGCGAGCTGCAAGTCTGGGTTGGAGTTGCAGCAGAAAGGTAAGCGACCTAATAACAGAAAGAGAGCTCAGCCCAGAATAACAGCAGTGCAGAGCTTTGGATTTGTGAGCTACCAGTCACTCCTGTCCCTCCCCTCAGAAGTAAGAGTTTCAGGTTCCTGGGCCATGGTTTTCCTGGGAGTGGGAGGAAGAACTAGAAAAGAAATAAGACCCTGAGAAAAAAAATTGGTCTATGTCCTTACTAAACAGATACATTCATAAAGACAGACAACAAAAATCAACAGAGCATGCATAAAAGATCCTCAAGTTAAATCTGACACGGTTTTTAGGGAAGAAAAATCTTTTAAGGTTCAGTCGGCAATAATTTTAATAAGGAATCTAGGAATTGTCTCAAGGCTGCCATGTGATTCAGAAAATAAGAGCTCAGGACCGCTGCACACAGTTTCCATGACTTCTTTGTACTAGGTTATTAACTCTGATCTTTACTATAACGTAATACTAGAGACAGATACAAATAAGATCAAAACATACAAGTCAAAGATCTCCTAGTACGGATAAGGAAGACTCTGACTGAGAAACTGCCTCACTACAAGGCTGTCCAGGCCACCAGGAAAGCAGCCGTATGATGACTGGTAAAAAGAGGGCCAATCTTAGAATATTAGTATTAGAAATCAACGCTTTGCAAGCTGGATTCTTCTAACTCTGGCATTCGGAGAGCTTCAAATAGAAAATTTTGGATTTAGGATAACACATGCAGAGGTCCAGCACTGAAAAACACTCCAAACAAGTGCCAAGGACCTAGGAAAACTGTCAAGATAACAACAGCAACAACACAACACTTACCAGCAAGGGAAAAGATACCAGATGAGACAGCCCATAGCTTCTTTCCAAAAATGACTTTGATGCTCATTCACTCCCTGCTGCACCTTAAGGAGCCAGGATAGTGATTGATCCTGGAAGAGCTGTCGCCTTGCTCCCCTTTACAGCAACAGCCAGCAAGAGGTTATTTCAAACAAGACACATCTTTGCAAAGTCGGGCAGGTCATTTCCCTGACTTGTGGAACGGGTACCCTGTACTTCCTTGCATTAAACTGGGGTTGAACAGATTGGATTCAAGTAAGCTGAACGCCCAGTCTGCACAGCTAGCTGGCAAATGGAGTTGAGGTCTGTTGACAGGAATAGAAAGCTACTCCACTTTCAGAAGTTTTTATTTATTTTAAAATAAACAAGGCTTTTTAGGAGAGAAGCTTTTTAGCAGGCTGCTTCAGAAGTCATGTTTATTCATACTTCAAGAGATTAGAGCAACACGGGAACGGGAATGTGCTGCAGCTCTCTTAAAATTAAGTTTCTTGCCTGGCAGCATAGAGGTGAAACATATATTCATTTTGCAACTGTGGGCAAAGAACATTAATAATAAGCTCACCACCAAATCCTCCAGCTGCCCAGCCTAAGCAAGTACAAAACGACCAGTTTCATCTGCCACAGCACCAGAAGGACATGTATCCTGCCATGCTTGGCTTTTCATCTCTTCCCTGGTAGGCTCCAATTTATGTTAACTCCTAAACTTCTTAAAAAATAATAATAAAAAAAAAATGCCTCTTTCCTTGAACAGATTAAAGCCTTTAACTATCACAGGAGCTGCTCGCTGCAACAAACAGGGTTGTAGCCACCTGGGTGGGAGAAAGGCAGGCGCAAGTTTTGGAGCAAGCCTACTGTGGTGGAAGGTCAACGTGGTGGGAAAGGGGCGATTAAAAACCCTAAGCTTATTTATTTTCAGCACTTTACCGGAGAACAACATGCAATTTGATTCTCACCCTTAATTTGTACATTCTCACGGGAATTTGGCAAGGTTGCCGTGCAGAAAGGAGTTTGAAGAACTCTTGCAAAAGACAGCGCGCTATGCCAGATCAAGCAAGCTATCAGTTATTTACATTCATTTCAAAGGACAAAGGAAGCTATTTATTTCCACCCTATCTGCATGTTTAAAGAAAAACCAGTTAAGACGGAACTAGTCCTAACACCAGGGCTTGTCAATGCACAGCAACCAGCACGGCCATCCTGGAGTGAATATGAGGCACGATCAAACTATCCCAAATTAATCCACTACTACAGGGACTGCTCCAGAACGCAGTGGTTGCAGCAGGGCACACGTTCCCATTAGGAAGTCATCCTAAACTTGTGCTGCTAGGGAATTTACCTGGTGCAGGCAAGAGAAGTCCTCTGGCTATCAGCAAAAGCAACCTCTGGTCTGTACCTTCCAAGCAACCCCAGAGAATTAAGGAGCCTATTTTAAGCATGAATTTCAGAAAGTGCAAAGAGGCCTATTTGGCTTTGCCACACTTGCAGGATTAAAATGCCTGATTCTCCCAGCTATTAAATAAAAGGGCTCCTATTTTTAAACACACAGGAGTGTTTCACCTCCCTTCAGACACATTGCTACACACAAAGCTAGAAAAAAAAAAAAAAACAGAGGTCCAGCTGCAGGTTAAGAACCCTGCCACGCTACCTGGAGTCAGAGTAACAGAGGGAAAAGAACTCCAGGCCTGCACACCCAGCAGAACCCACCTTAACCAGCCAGCAGTTAAGTGACATAATTGAGTTTCCCAGATCCGAGCTGCAGATTTTGCAGCACAGAAACCACAGGCGAGGCTCTCCCACATCTCCTGTTCAACAGCTCTGAACCAGAGTAAGATTTCCCCATCACCACACTGAGGCAGAAGGAACTAAACAGAACAGCTGCTGCTCTGGTCAGCAAAAAGCAGGAGTGTGTTCACCTTCCATCTGTGAAAGAAAAGTGAGGATACCAACGGAATAACCCTCTGAATCCCCTAAACTGAGTTAAGCAGGCAGAAACAGATCAAATGCCATGCTGCCAAAGCTCAGTGTGGGGACCAACCAGTACCTGGAAATCTAAATGGAAAATTAAATGTTATCCAGAAAAAAAGTTCATCAATTTACAAAGTTATCTTCAAGAGAATTCTGCATTTGATAAAAGGCTAATTTAACCTTTCCTTGTTAGCCTAACTGTGGTACCAATGCAGCTATGAACATCTCTTTCAGTCAGATCATCTCTCAGAGACAGAACTGCCTGACAGCACGTTGCTCTGAGCTCCCATGGTTATGATCAGTCTGTGGCACTCACTTTACCTTCAGTTAAGCAGCATGATGGTCTGCAAGTACCTAATTGATTTGGAATTTCACTTACTATTTCCTTTAAAGCTCCTTTAGAGCATACAGCCTGCATCATTATTTGGCTCGCAGAGAGGAATGGATTCAAAAAGGGAAAAAAAAAGTTGTGTTGTTTTTTTCCTCATAAGCAAAGGCTTATAATAACAATTAACTGCATATCTGTCAGAACACCTCCCACAATTCAGATGGAAAGCCCCCATCCAGTTCTGAAGCAATGAATACACACACACGAGACCAGAGCTGTAGACGGGCTCACGTGTTTGCACAGCTGAGCCTGTGGTCCTTGGGGCACAGGAGAGCCTAGGTAAAAAGGCCCGTAACCCCAATGTGCCACCCAGACAGGTGCATTCAAACACATTTTAAGACCCTGGAACTATTTCTGGGTTCCCAGATCAAAGCATCAATCAGGATAACTGTAACACGAGCACAGGGCTGAAGTCAGCCAGCCGAGCGGATGAATGGAGTGCGAACGCCGTGTTTATCTCAGCACGTGTGTGCGCACTAAGCCGGAAAGATAGGAGTGACCTACACCAGCAGCCCACCCGCTCCTCTCCTCGCTGTCAGGCCAGCTGAAAAAGCACAGGGAGGACTGAGCCAAGTAACGGGCGCGTATTCGTGTCAGCAGTTCCCACTATAATGTGCAGATGAGTGGAAAAAAAGAAAAAAAAAAAGCAGCCTTGCTTGGCACGATGCCCACACACACAGCCCGGTAGTGGGGAAAAGAGGCAGGGGGCACAGACCACCACCCAGCCACGGGTCAGCTTTCTGGGTCAGGGAGCTGGAGGATGCCTAAATTCAGGCTCCTCTGTTCCGAGTGCACCTTCCCAAAGCCTCTGTGAGGGGAAGCAGCGAGGGATCCCCTCAGAGCCCCCTCACTAGGGGTGCTCCCCACCACCCCCCGGGCCCTGCCATCATCCCACCTTTCTTGAACTCCTCCAGCATGGCGTCGAGCTTGGTATCGTTGAAGACAAAGTGCAGCGGGTGGTTGTAGAACCGGGTGATGGTCTTGAGGGGCGTGCAGTCGTCAGGGTCCACAAAAGCCAGGTCCTTAACGAAGAGCAGGTCCACGATGTTGGAGCGGTCACCCTCGAAAACGGGGATGCGGGTGTAGCCGCTCTCCATGATCTCGGACATGGTGTTGAAGTCAAGCACGGCCTCGGCAGCGATCATGAAGCAGTCCCGGAGCGGAGTCATCACGTCCTCCACCGTCTTGGTGCGCAGCTCCAGGGCTCCTTGGATGATGTTGAGCTCCTCCTTGACCAGATCGTTGTACGGGTCAGTGACCCGCAGCATCTCCAACAGCTTCTCCCGGTTATAGACGGTGCCGATCTCCTGACCCAGGACACAGTCCAGCAGTTTGCTGACAGGGTAGGAGGCCGGGAAGGTCATCATCATGAAAAACTTGGTGAGGAAGATGGTGTTGGCGCCCACAGCCAGGCCGTGCCGGGAGCAGATGGCCTGCGGCACGATCTCGCCGAAGATAACGATGCCAATGGTGGAGACCACCACGGCCACCAGCCCGGAGCCGGCGATGTCATCCAGCAGGATGGTCAGCGTGGTGTTGACCAGGACGTTGCCCAGCAGGAGGGAGCACAGCAGGTAGTTGCCCTGACGGCGCACGGGCTCGATGCGCTTGGCGTAGTTCTTCTCCTTGTCCGTGCCGCAGTTCTGCACAATGCGCAGCTCCATGGGGTCCAGCGCCATGAGGCCCAGGTTGAGGCCGCTGAACATGCCCGAGAGGCAGAGCAGGAGCGAGATGAAGATCACCTGCAGCCAGAAGGGCAGCAGGAACTTCTTCTCCTCCCCGACGATCATCTTGGTGTCCTCTCCGTCGTGGTAGATCCAGGTGGTCTCCCCCCAGGGCGGGGGGCCGGCGGGTCCCTCGGCACCCACCAACCCACCGGCGGCCCCGGGCCCTAGGGCGGCGGCAGCAGGGGCCGAGACGGAGGTGCACAGATAATAGGACTTGCTCTTCTCCGTCTTACGCAGGGGCTTGATCTCGATCTCGATGATGCCCGACGTGCGCCGGTTGAGCACGATGTGCGGCAGGATGATGATGTCCGACGTGCGGATGCCGCAGCGCTGCGGGGCTCCACCGCCTCCTCCTCCTCCTCCAGCCACCACCACCACCATCCACCTCCTCCTCCAGCCGAGGAGCCCATTCCTCCTCCTCCTCCTCTCCCCACCACCGCCGCCGCTCCCCCGCCGTCTCCAGCCAGCGTCGCCCGGCCTCCTCCCCGCCGCCTCTCGTGCTCGGTGAAGGCGATGCGCGACCAGGTCTCGTTGTTGATGTTCTGCCCGTACACCCGCAGCTTGACCCGCGTCCTCTCGCTCACCCGCAGCGCTCCCCCCTCCATGAAGGAGACGTCGTCCGTGTCCTCCAGCCGCAGCCCGATGATCACCGTCTCCTCCGCCGAGGAGGATGAGGATGATGAGGAGGAAGAGGCAGGCGGAGCAGCGGCGGAGGCGGCGGGCGGGCGGCCCATTTGGCAGCAGCAGCCCAGCAGCAGCAGCAGCAGCAGCGGCGCTCCCCGCGCCCCCCGGCCGCCCCCCGCCATGTTCCCCCCGGGCAGCGCGGCCATCTTTAGTCAGGGCTCGGCGGCGGGGCCGCCGCCGCCCCTCATCGCCCGCGGCCGTGCCCCGCTTGGCACCGGTGGCGGTGCTGGCGGCGGTGCTGGCGGCAGGCGGGGCGCGGCTGCCCGCGGGACCCGACGGGCGGCGACTGCCGGAGCCGGGCCGAGCCGAGCGCCGCCTTGGTGGAGCCGCGCGGAGCTCCCCGCCCCGCTCCGCCCCGCTCCGCCTCACCCGGGCGGGGCCGCGACTAACGGCCGCCAACGGCCGGCCGGTAACCGTTGAGGGGGCGGGGCCTCCCGCGCGCCCCTCCGCCAATCGCCGCCCGCCGCCGGCCCCCCCCCGCGGCGCGTGACTGAGGGGCGGGGCTGGCCCCGGGGTGAGGGCCAATAGGGGAGGGGGTGGGGGGAGAGGGGGCGGGGCTAAGAGGGGGCGCGACCAATGGCGGGGCGGGGATGGGAGAGGGGATGGGGGGGGGGGGGGGCTGGAGCGGGATGGGGACGGGGATGGGGAACGGGACCGGGACCGGCTCCGTGTGTGTCCCCCCCCGGTCACAGCCCCGGGCCCCGTGAGCGGTGTCGCAGCGCCCCCTGGCGGCCGTGTGGGGCACACACAGGGCAAAGGGCCGGGCCCGGGGGAGTGTGAAGGGGGAAGCAACGAAATCAGAAAAATAAAATAAAATAAAATAAAATAAAATAAAATAAAATAAAATAAAATAAAATAAAATAAAATAAAATAAAATAAAATAAAATAAATAAAATAAAATAAATAAAAAATTTATTTAAAAGAAAATAATTTTATATAAATTTATATTTAATATAATAAAATTATATAAATTTATATATAATAAATTTATATAAATTATATTTATATAAATTTAATATAAAATTCTATAAATTATATAATGTTTTATATAAAAAATATATAAAATAATTTTATTTTATTTAAAATAAAATAAAATAACAAAAATAAAATGAAATGAAATACAATAATAAAAATAAATAAATAAAATATTAAAATAAAGTAATAAAATAAAACAAAAATAATAAGATAAATACAAAATTTTAAAAAGAAAAAATAATTGCAAATAAAAAGAAACAAAATAATAAAACACAAACAATGTTGAGTGTTTTTTCTAGTCCAAAAAGACAAAAATAAATGAAATGAAAATAATATAGTATTAAAATAAAGTAGTAAATCGATATAAAGTAATAAAGTAAAACCAAAAATAATTTTAAAAGAAACAAAATAATAAAATAAAACACAAACAACGTTGTATGTTTTTTCTAGTCAAAAAAAGTCAAAAATAAAACGAAAAAAAAAATAAATACAAAATGTAAAAAATAAAATAAAATAAAAAGAAATAAAAAGAAAAACAAAATAATATTTAAAAAAAACAAAACAAAATAATAAAATAGCACACACACGAGGAGTTACAGTTTTCCAAGCACACCGCTCTGCGGCCCTAAACCCAGCCACTTGCAAGTTCCCGTGCACTGCATCCTGCAGGTTCCTGGTCCCATCTGAACCCAAACGGCAGGCTGGCGAGGTGACTTTCCAGGAAACCACATTTATGGGCATTATTTATGGGTTCAATCCCCAAACCGGGGATTCATCGCTCCCCTATTTCGCTCCTGGCAGAGACCAGGGCGAGCAGTGCGGGGCACTTAGGAAATCCCTTCTGTGACTGGGAACTGCCCTTACAGGCCTCTAAACTTGTAAAAACCCCAAGGATCTCCCTCTCCTTGCACACGTACAGCCTGATGGGGACAAGATGATGTTCGGCTGGCAGGGAGGGGATTTTGGTCCCTCCTGGAGGATCAGGGCAGGAGGAGGGATGGAAATGTTCCCTCATTTCCCAGCTCATCCAGGACGGGGACATGGTGTTGGGGCGGGTGGGACGTGGGACACGTGTGGGGGACCCTGCAGCCACAGTGTGGGATTTCCAAAACCGCCGCATTTCCCTGCAAAACCCTGCAGGTGCAAGGCCTGCACAGCACGCAGGGCTTCCCACTAGATGGAGTCCGGGGGAAAAATAAACCTCAGCAGCGCTGCACGGGGAAAGGGGGAAGAAATCCCAACCCCGGGGACAGGCTGTGGGGCTGCCCTGGGCATGAGGGATGGTTTCGGGAAAAGCTACGGGATGGGGTGTGCGTGCAGGGGGTTTCGGGGGGCTCGGAGCAGAGCTGGACTGGTGTATGGGGTACACGCTGCAGGGTGCTGAGAAATCCCATATGAGGGGCCCCACAGCTCCCATCCCTGTCCGTGTGTCCCACAGGGAGCGAGGGGACCCCCAGGGTGCTCCCCGTCCCCACCGTGCTCATACCGAGCCCTAAAAGCACAGCACCCCGCAGTCTCCAACCCCACAGGGTTTCGTCTCGGCCTTTTATTTCTATTTTTTCCTCTGGTGATAACCCCACACCACACAGGCCGCAGCCCCCTGCCCCGCTGGCACCCAGGCGGGATGGGGACATCGCTCAGCAGCAGCCCCGGGGCCCGCAGGTGGCAGCGGGACCGCAGGCAGGAGCCGGGGCCGCCAGCTTCTCCAGCAGCTGGAAGGGGTCGCAGATCTTCTCCTGTAGGGCAGAGGAGAAGCCGATTTAGGATCAGGCCGCAGGGAAACACGAGGCCCGCCATGGAAGCAGCGTTTCCCCACCACTCGCTCCCTGCCGCCATGGGGATCAGCCTGGTGGCTTTCCCCTGCCCTAAGGAGGGTGCTGAGAGCTTCTGGGGGGGGTTTCACTCTGCTTTTTTATCTGAGAAATGCCTTCTGCTTGGACAGGGACCCAAAAGCCCCAGCGCAAGGCTGTGCTCCAGGGACGCGCAGCTGCAGGGCTTTATCTCCCCGGCCTACTGATGACCCCTGCTGGCCCGTGTGGAAGGATGGCCGTGAGGATGAGGAGGGAGGCTGCCAGCAGAGAGATAAAAGTGTTTCGGGCTGTGGGGTCAGGGCCCAGAGCTCACAGCAGCAGCGAGGAGCAGCTGGGGTGGTCGCTGCGCCCCAAAGCAGGGAGGAGCTGTCCCCATACAGACCCCAGGGCTGCCCAGCCACCAGCCCCAGCACCCCAACTGGGCACGTACAGGGGCAAAGGGACCTCTAGCAAGGGACAGCAGCGTCCCCAGCCCCAAATCCAGCACAGGGCTGCTGCTACCAACCTTCACCCTCCTGCCACAGCAGCCCTGGGGTGCGGCAGCATCGGCCCCGGCGGCTCGGATGAGGAATTCCTCCGCAAACCTGGAGCTGCGCAGCACCGCGGCCGTCTCGGCATCCACATCCACCGCCTCTCCTTCCTGGGGACACGGTGACAGGCACGGGGCTGGGACACACGGACCAGGGTCCCCCAGCCGCCCGGTCGGATATGTGGGGACTGAAAGCAGGGCTCAGCCCGGCCCAAAGCCTGGAGGAACACCCACAGGGAGCAAGCAGCGGGCTCCAAACCACCTGGTGAAGCCGCCAGGGATGTTCTGCTCCCATCTCCACAATGCACAGCTCTGGTTCCCTCTCCCTGCCCTATTTGCAGCTCTTCTGGCTTATATTGCTCCCATCCACCACCTCATCCCCTAAACCACACTGCATCAGTGCTGCCCCATCCCCAGCCCTTCAGGCCGGGTCTGCTCGCCATCCCCAGAAGCCCAAAACGCACCTCCCCGTACCTTGAAGGTGAAGTTGGCATCAAACACCAGCTCTCGCTCGTGCCCCACGATCCCACCATTGTAGATGACCTGGCCCGGCCCGGCACGGCTGCTCCCCGGCACCTTGAAGAGCCGAAATGTGGCGGAGACGAAGCGGCAGTCCCCTAAAAAAAAAGAGAGCCCAGCGGGCCAGGTGCTGAGCACAGGGTCCCAGCACCTCTCCCTGTGACCAAACGGAGCCACTGCTCCCCGTCAGGACCCTCACCGACAACACCCTCCAGCTCCTTGTCCCCGATGGTGATGGGGCTGGCGGTGACCAGGCGCGGGGGGCTGAAGCCCACCTCCTCGGCGATGCTGTAGAGGTCTCCCCAAAACAGGGCTCCCGCCAGGCACTCCCCTGGCACGACAGCACACACACGGGTGACACAAGGCAACAAGGTGCTCCCCGTCCCGTGTCACCCTATATCCAGGAGCCCTACACACCCCACAGCACCCTGTGCTTCCTCACGGCCTCGCTCAGGCGCTGGCTGGCGTAGACGTCGCTGAAGTACATCTCTCCGCCGGGCTGGAAGGCAGTGGGGCAAAACTGGGCTGGGAAATGGAGCAACGGCCCCCAAAGTGGCCCCAACCCCGCTCCGCTCCCCACCTTCAGCACGCGATAGGCCTCCCGCAGCACGGCCCTCTTGTCAGGGGCGAGGTTGATCACGCAGTTGGAGCTGGAGAGGAGAAGACCAAGGCTCGTTTGCACCATCACCTCCTACACTCAGCACCGTCTGCTGCTGCACAGCCTGAACTTAGTGCAGGGTTCAACCACAAAAAGGGCAGTCCCCACACTCCCAGGTCCCAGCCCAGATCCTCCTTGGGTTTTTCCCTTTCCTCACACGTGGCTGAAGCAAGAAACCTGGTGGGATGTGGGTGCAGCCCCCTGCAGGGTACCTACATGACAATATCGTAGCTCTCATCAGCCAGCCCGGCATCACCCAGCTTCTCCATGTAGCCCTGGAGGAAGTCCACGTTGGGCTTTCGGTAGCCAAACTTCTCCATGTGATACGCGATGTGCTTCCTCGCCACCTCCACCTGGGAGGAGGAAGGGAACGAACATGGGGGGGAGGGGGACACGGAGAGGGGACAAAGCAAGCCCAGGGATTGTCCCCACACCCTACCTGGCCCTGGGTCATGTCAATGCCGGTGACGTGGCCCCGCTCCCCGACCAGCTGGCTCAGCAGGTAGCAGTCCCTGCCGCTGCCGCTGCCCAGGTCCAGGACCCGGCACGCTGCCAGGCACTCGGGGACGACCAAACCGCAGCCGTAGTACCTGGGGGGGGGGTGGGTTACCACCCTGGCTCCTGCCCCCCGGGGGCTGCAGCCCACGGGGAGGTGGCAGCAGGAGGAACTCGCCCGGAGCTCACCTGGCCACCACCTCCTCGTGGACGCGCTCCAGAGCATCTCTGATGGCCTTGGGGACCGGCCTGGCCGAGGTGACGCAAGCGTTGGTTTTCAGGTCCTCCGACTTCTGCAGCTCTTTGCCGTAGTAATCCTGAGGTGCGAAGGACACGGGGCACCCCACTGCAGCGAGCTGGGCCACGGTGACTCCGTGGGGTCACAAAACACGGGATCACGCCCATGCTCAGCTTATATGTGCCCCCCAGAGCCCTCTGGCACCGCACCCAGCTAAAAATCAGGTTAAATACCCACCCTGCTTGGCTTCACCTGCTTGTATACACACACATCTTTGCACAGGAGGGGATTTAATTGCTGTTTGTAATAATTTTTCAGGCCACGGATGCTGTTTCCCTGACTGACGGGGGTGCATGCAGAGAAACACAAGCTCGCCCTGCTCCCTCCTCATCCCCACATGGAAACGAGCAAAGCGCCTGCTCCGAAACCCCGCTGGCAGCAGCCAAATGCCCTTAGCACCCTCACTCCGGTCCCCAAATGAGCTTTGTCCCCTGACTGGCAGGTGTCCTGGCACTGCCTGGGCTCGGCGCTCCCTCCCCGGCCGCCCCGCTCGCCCCCCTCACCTGCACCTCGCGGTGGATCTGGTCCTGGGGGATCTGTTCGCGGGGGATCTGTTTGTGGGGGATCTGCTCCCCGCACGGCGCGGCCACTGCAGCAACGGGGGCACAGGGTTGGTGCCGACGCCACCACCACGGGCACCACGCCAAACCCTTCCCCAAGGCCCTCACCCCCCTCCCCAAAATACAGGAACGCTTTTAGTCCCTCTAGCAACCCCCGAGGAGACCCCAACCCAAATCCTAATGGGAAAAGCACCGCGTGCCAACATCCCCCCCACCAAAACACCCTGACCCTGCCTGCCCTGGAGGGACTACCCCCAAGGACGTCCCGTAGGGTGAATCCCAACCCTCTGCGGGGTCCCATGGGGTCCCCCCACAGGGCCCTGGCACCCTAGAGCCGGAGCCCCGGGGTGCCTGGGTGCCTTACTGCCTCCGGCTGCGGCTCGGCCACGCTCCGCCCCGGCGCCCTGCGCCGCCCCAGGCCTGGCTTCCGCCCGACACCAGCTCCTGCCAGGCCTGAGATTTGGGTAAAAAACCTGGGTACGCAGCCACGCTCGCTACCGGCACCCACGGTGTCACCTCACACCCACAGCCTCAGCCTTTGGGTACCCCCACCCTGCTGCGTCCCATCCCCCACCCCACTTTCTGCTCGCCCCAAACGCAGGGAAACCCCAGTGGGATGCCCCAGCCCCTGCAGAGGGTGCGAGCTCACAGGGGAAAAAGCTGCCTCCTTCTCCAGAAGCTGGGGGAAAAGCTTCTCTCCCCAAACACAGCTGTGAGGCCACGGATTAGGAACCCCCCCCAGGGCACAAACGGACCCCAGTGCCCCATCCTTTAGGCATCACAGCCCCTGCTATCAAGGTAAGCAGGCACAGGAGGTGAAAAGATTAGACTTAGAAGCTGAAACCCAAGCCTTAATAACAAAGCAAATCATTTCAGCTCTTTATGCACACAAGCAAGTGCTTCCAGTGTGCTCCAAGTGCTCTGGGTACGTGACTGATGAAAAACAAGACACAATATTTACAGCCCGGACCCCACCTCACTGCCCAGGAAGCAAACGGGAGCCCAGTCACCAAGTCATCGCCACGGAGCCGTGCAGAGCTGACTACACCGGCTCCTGATTTTCTTTTGCATCTCCCTGCCTGCTTCCCAGCTGTGTCTCTGGACACCTTCCCAACCAGATACAGCCACCCAGCACTTCCAAGGCTGCTTAATCAAAAGCTGGAGCAGCAACCCAGCGCAGGAATGTGGTTGAAGGCCGAAGGCAGTACAGATGGGTTGGCAAAGGGATGGCGTTCCAAGCTCTGGCTTAGTGGAAAATAAGATAACCTCAGAGCGGGATGCTCGCCAAGGCATGTCCAGCTGGAGCAGGGACAGAGGTGTCTGTGCAGAATCACGCTTCCCAAAATTCTGGTCTTGGACGGGCACCTCAGCCCACTCTGAAGCACCTCACCCACCCAGCCACTCACAGCTCCCACTGATTAACGTGCCCTAAATAAATTGCAGCGACCATCTGTGCCTAAATAAGGACCCGTGTCAAACTTCAGGCACCTGTATTTAAAACCCACATCTCTAGTTTGTACGTTTATTGGGAGGGGAGGAGCTGTTTTGTATGAAAACTGGCTGTGTGATTGCTGGTTGTTGGCAGGCACCAGCAGCATTATTCCATCACCCTTCAGGAGACGGATGCTGAGCAGAGCTTAGACGGGAAATAAAATTGTCCCGCTCCGGCTGTGAGAAACATTGGACAGCCGAACATCTCACGTGAAACACGGGAAGTAAGCGAACACAGGGATCGTTGGGGGAAGGGAACTTTCTGCTAAGATGGTTTCAGTCACACGTGGGGAAGCAGGAGAGCGTTCTGGAGACAGAGACGTGGATGGGATCGTGTGAGAGGGGCCCACACGCTCAGAAATGTGTGCTCTGCACGTATCCCTAGCGGGCATCCAGCACCGTCCAGACACAGGCCTGAGCCCCGGAGGGGACAGGATGCCTGGCTGCCCTCCGTGCCAGTCGAGAAGTCCTCGTGCCTTCAGCTTCGCTTCATTTCAGCAAGTGACTCAGCTGGTCCCGCAGGTTCGATGACTGCTCGACACTGGGGACAAAACAAGAAGAGGCTGACAGTGAGATCTGATCCCCAGGGAGCACCCAAGGGACGGGAAGAGAAATCCCGGGGTTCCCCACCCCACCTCCCCGTGCCCGCAAGGCAAACCGCACTTCGTGTACTCGTGCACGTTAAGGAAAGATCCATAAGTTTTCAGTAAAATCATCCCTTCACCCAAGATCTCATCTCTTTGCAGTACTGACCTTCACAGAATTGAAATGATATCTTGCTGGGCCAGCATGTTTCAAAAGCAGCTGCAAAAACCTTCCAGCTGCTTCTCTCCCCCCCACACACCCCATTACTCTTTCCTTTCCCCATCAATCTCTACGTGCTGTTTCCCACGTCCTCTTGGCATTCCCTCCGCTAGGTACTCACTTCTTCTGGATTGCTTCCTGCCTAGATGAGAAAAGGAGAGGAAAGAGCATTAGAAAAGCACAAATTTCAGCAACACCACTCGATGGTGATGAAAAGGGACTCAAACAAGGGCTCAGGAGCCCAAAACCCTCACGTGTGTCTGGATTAAGCACCCCGCAGAGCAGGCGGTGCCCCCCTACTTACTGGTACTGCAGGTGCGTGGTTATTATGGCCATTTTCCTCAGGCTCTGTGGAAAACAAGACCAAGAATGAACGTTTGGCTCGGCAGCAGCTCCGCTCCCCCCGCCACGCGCAGATCTCTCATTTCGGGGCTCCGGGAGCGCGCCCGGCCCCCGGCCCCAAAACCCTTTTCCCCTATTTCCCAGCAGTTTTGTGCTTACGTCCTCCGAGTGCAGGATGGCGTCCTCCTGCAGCACCATGTTCCTCGCAGCCTGCCCCAGGAGCTACAAGACAAGGACAGCGCTGCCAGACCCAGACCCAAACCCCAAACCCCAACCCCAAATCCAACCCCAAACCCCCCCCAAAGGGCCAGGAGCTGCCCTCGGGACTACAACTCCCAGCATGCCCCGCGCCCCGCACACACCACTCAGCGCGCCCCCCCTGCTGCCTACAACTCCCAGCATGCCCCGCGCCCCGCACCGCCGCACCACCTGCAGCCCCTCCGCCTTTCCCCGGGCGCCCCGAGGCCGCGTTGCATGCTGGGACTTGTAGTCCGCCGGCCCGCCCGCCGCTCACCTCGGCGCTGCGGGAGCCCTTCAGCACCTGCTTGGTGAGGGCGATGACGTCAGTGCCGCAGCTCGTCACCTTCTCGGTCAGCAGCCCCTTCACCGAGTGCCCGAACCGCGCCTGCGCCTCCGCCGCGCCGCCCGCCGCCATCTTGCCCGCCGCACGCCCCGCCTGCGCCGCGCCGCTACGGGCAGCGCTGAGGGACAAAAGAGGCGGGAAGGCGAAGGGCGGGGGGGTGCCCAGTGCTGCCCAGTGCTGACTAGTACTGACCAGTACTGACCAGTACGAACCAGTTCTAACCAGTCCTACACCATATTGCATAGTGCTGCCCAGTACTGCCCAGTACTAACCAGTTCTAACCAGTCCTAACCAGTCCTACACCATATTGCCCAGTGCTGCCCAGTACTAACCAGTTCTAACCAGTCCTACACCACATTGCCCAGTGTTGCCCAGTATTGCCCATTACTAACCAGTTCAAGCCAGTTCTGCAACATATTTCATATTACCCAGTACTGCCCAGTATTAACCAGTTCAAACCACCCCTGCACCATATTACCCAGTAGTGCCCAGTACTAACCAGTACTCACCAGTTCTGCACCACATTGCACAGTGCTGCCCAGTATTGCCCAGTACTAGCCAGTACTCACCAGTCCTGCGCCATATTGCCCAGGCATCCCAGTGCTGCCCAGTACAGACCAGATCTGCACCATATTGCCCAGTGCTGCCCAGTACTAACCAGTTCAAACCATCCCTGAACCGTATTACCCAGTAGTGCCCAGTACTCACCAGTACTCACCAGTCCTGCACCATATTGGCCAGTGCTGCCCAGTACTAACCAGTTCAAACCACTCCTGCACCATATTGCCCAATTCTTCCCAGTGCTGCCCAGTGCTGCCCAGTGCCCCAGCCCCTCTCAGACACCGGGGGGGTCTCACAGCACACCAGCAGCCCCCAGCCCACCCCAGTCCCTGCCCCCAGAGGAGCCCCCAGGGCCTCCCCCCGTCCTCCCAGCCCCTCCGCCCTGTCCCCAGCTGCGGAGCTGGCCCGCTGCCCGTCACGGCCGGCCGCCATCCCCCCGATAAGCAGCCGAGCCCGTCCCAGGGTCAAGGGGACTCTGCCGGGCGGGTATAAATTTTCGGGGGCCGCACAGCCTCACAGCTGCCCCACCATGCTGCCGCTGGCCGCCCTGCTGCTGTGCCTGGCCCTGCTGTGCGCCTGGGGGCTGGCACGCCGCCGGGGTCCCATGGGGACGGGGACGGGGACGGGGACGGGGACGGGATGGGCGGCTGCAGAGCCTGCCAGCCCTGCCGCTGGTGGGGAGCCTGCTGCAGCTGGCCGGGCACCCCCAGCTCCACCTGCGGCTCTGGAGCCTGCAGGGCCGCTACGGCAGCCTCTACGGGCTCTGGATGGGCTCCCACTACGTGGTGGTGGTCAACAGCTACCAGCACGCCCGCGAGGTGCTGCTGAAGAAGGGGAAGGCTTTCGCCGGACGGCCCCGCACTGTGAGTCCGAGGGGATGGGTGGGTTTGGGGGACCCCCCTGCTGCAGGGTGAGGATGCTGCGGGGCTGCCTGCCTGACCCTAAAGCTGTGTACCCCGTACAGGTGACCACGGACCTGCTGTCCCGGGGGGGCAAGGACATCGCCTTCGCCAGCTACAGCCCCCTCTGGAAGTTCCAGCGCAAGCTGGTGCACGCCGCCCTCTCCATGTTCGGAGAGGGCTCGGTCGCCCTCGAGAAGATCAGTGAGTGTCCCCCGCCACCCCACTATCATATACGTGTGTGTTTTCTGTCCTTATTGCCTCTCTGCTCCATCCCTGCTGCCTAAACCCCTGCTGGAGGTGCCTCCTGCCACCCCCTTGGCCACCCCCGGGGCTCACCGTCCCCTCTCCTGCCTCTCCTTCCCCCCCAAAAAAAAAAAATAGTCTGCCAAGAGGCTGCCTCCCTGTGTGAGACGCTCAGCGCCGCGCAGGACTGCAGCCCTGGACATGGCCCCGGAGCTCACGAGGGCCGTCACCAACGTGGTCTGCTCCCTCTGCTTCAACTCCTCCTACCGCCGTGGGGACCCCGAGTTCGAGGCCATGCTGGAGTACAGCCAGGGCATCGTGGACACCGTGGCCAAGGAGAGCTTGGTGGACATCTTCCCCTGGCTGCAGGTGAGCGGGGACACAGGAGCTGAGTGGTCTTCTCCTGAGGGAGGAGAGGAAGGAGCTGGAGGTTGAGCTGGAGCTCTTTGCTGTAACGGGGCTTTTCTCCCCCAGATCTTCCCCAACAAGGACTTGGCCCTGCTGAAGAAATGCCTCAAGGTCAGGGATGAGCTGCTCCAGCAGAAGTTCACCGAACACAAGGTGCCCAAGGGGCTGGGACAGGGGGCTGCGGGGTGCTGGAGCTGAGCTGGGGGGGGCTCAGCTGTGTCCCCTGGCAGGAAACCTTCTGTGGGGACACCGTGAGGGACCTCATGGATGCCCTCCTGCAAGTGAGGCTCAGCGCCGAGAACAACAGCCCGCCGGCAGCAGGGCTGGAGCTGACGGACGACCACCTCCTCATGACGGTGGGGGACATCTTCGGGGCTGGCGTGGAGACCACCACGACCGTGCTCAAGTGGACCGTGCTCTACCTGCTCCACTACCCTGAGGTGAGGTCCGTGCCCCGCGGGTCTCCCTCCTGCACCAGGGGCATCGCAGGGGGCTTTGGGGAAGGATAATGCCAAGAGAGATGTCAGGCTCTTGGAGTAAGGGGTATCAAGCTGTGAGGAGCACTTTGCTTCTGCCCCCATCACCTGCTGGTGGTGCTGGGTGCTGACGCCCAGCCCTTGCTCCCCTCCCAGGTCCAGAGGAAGATCCAGGAGGAGATGGACCAGAAAATCGGCCTGGCCCGTCACCCCCACCTCAGCGACCGCCCGCTGCTGCCCTACCTGGAGGCCACCATCAGCGAAGTGCTGCGCATCCGGCCCGTGTCCCCCCTGCTCATCCCTCACGTGTCCCTCACCGACACCAGGTGAGACCACCGGGGTGTGGGCGGTGGCGGCGGGCAGGAGCGGCCCCCTCACGCCGTGTTCTCCCCGCAGCATCGGGGAGTACGCCATCCCCAAGGGCGCCAGGGTCATCATCAACCTCTGGTCCGTGCACCACGACGAGAAGGAGTGGGACAAGCCCGAGGAGTTCAACCCCGGTGGGTTTTGTGCCCTGTGGTGTGGGGACACAGAAGGAAAGGGGCCAGGAGGTCAGGTCCTGCTTCTCCCCAGATGGGGAGCTCGCACCCGCCTTGCCCTGCTCCTGGTGGGAGGGACACGGAGGGGCTGAATTTGGGCAGGTGTCAGGCAGAAAGGGACCGATCCCTTTAGAGCATCCCATTATTCCCCTTGCAGGACGCTTCCTGGACGAGAAGGGCCAGCACATCCACTCACCCTCGCCCAGCTACCTGCCCTTCGGGGCCGGGATCCGCGTGTGCCTGGGCGAAGTCCTGGCCAAGATGGAGCTGTTCCTCTTCCTGGCCTGGGTGCTGCAGAGGTTCACGCTCGAGTGCCCCCCGGACCAGCCCCTGCCCTCGCTGGAGGGCAAGTTCGGCGTCGTGCTGCAGGTGCAGAAGTTTCGGGTGAAGGCCAGGCTGCGGGAGGCCTGGAGGGCGGCCTCGTGACGGGGACACCCGTGTGATGGTGGGGTGGACGCCACAGAGCCTCCACCCTGCCTGCCTGGTGGATGCCAGGCTGCCTGAATAAAGCAGTTCCCAACCCAGCATGACTCCAGCTGCTTTTTGGGCAGGTGACAGAGGGCGCAAGCAGGTGGGAAGGTGCCCGAGATGTGTGGCAGCCCCAAAACCTCCTGTGTGTGCTGGGCTGAGATGCCACAGCCCCTCCGCATGGCTGCTGGGGGGTGAAGGTCTCCCCAGCTCCATCCCTGAGCCGGGGACAGCGTGCTCCCTCTGGCTGGGACCTGCTTCATACGGGGAAAAGAAGGAAACAGCTTAAATTTTCCTGCTGCTTTAGCTCCTGCCTGGCTCCCTGTGTGCACACATACAGGAGCATGTGCCCATGTCTGCACACCCCTGTACTCACCAGCGTGTGCAGCCACACGAAAGCACAGGGATGTGTTTAATGCCCCCCACACATGTTTTTATGTCCATACACACACGGATGTGCACGCACAGCCCCTCCCAGCTGGGACGTCAGCTGCCATAAAACGCCCCGCCAGGGAGGGCAGTGTGCAATTAGGTTTCTGCTCCTCGCTTGCCTGACCCTTTTTAATATTTAACCAGGCGGCAACACGGCTGCGCGACCCCTCCCCAGCCCTGCACACCTCCACGCTCCCTCCCTGCCCGTTTCCCCCCGTGATTTAACTCTGAATCACGGGGCTGGTATTCCCAGCCGGACAGCTGCACGGGGCCGCTGTGTTTGAACACATGGGTCCAAGCCCCCAGACCCCACCAGGCAGCTTCAGTTCAGCTGGTGGCAGCCGAATTCTCTTGCCACGAGAAATGGAGGGTCCCTGAAACCCAAAACGTGCTGATCCCTGGTGCCTCGGTGCCCAGGACGATCCCTCTGGTTTCATTCAGATTGGGATCCAGTGATCCCAAACCTGGCTGTGGGAGGGCCGGGGGTGACCTCGGCAGCAGCCGCCGCTTTCCCTGCCAAAATAACCCTGCTGATGTAACCACCCGGGTCGCATTGCGTCTCTGCCCTCCATCTGGGGCTGCCTGGGACGTTTGCACGGGGGAAAAACAGGCTGGGAGCGTGCTCTGCATCCATGGGGCTCGGGAGGCAGCTACGTGGGGCTACGGGGAAGCAGCGTGTCCCGTCTCCTCCCGCTCCCTACAGCCTGCGAGGGAGGAATCGATGGCAGGAATTGATGGCAGGAAGGCGGCTTTCCCACAGCTTGCCCTGAGCACCATGAGGAGGTGGCTGTCCCTGGCCAAAAACAAACCGAGAAATGAAAACAAACCGAGAACCAACCCCGCAGCCCCCCAGGCACGCAGCGCACGGCGCTTGCACCACAGCCCAGGCGAGCCCCGCTGCGGGGCACGATTCCCATCTGATAACAGAGCCGGGCTGTGAGGGAGGTGGGAAACAGCTCTGAGGAAGAAAAGGGAACGGTCATGGCCTTCCCGGGATGTCCCAGCTGGGACATGAGGAGGAGGAGGATGGGATCCTTCAGGGGTCGGGAGGCAGGAAGCTCCGTGGGCCAGGCGCCGGCCTCTGACGCACATCCCGGGGCAGAGCCCGGCGCAGGCCGTGGCTGGCGTCACCAGCAGCCGCTCGGCAGAGGCCATACGTGCTCCTTCTGCCTCCGAGGAGGCTCGTCCCGGCCTCCTGCCCTGTGGCCATGGGCAAGGCAGAGGCTCGGCTGCACCGCGGCTTTCCCGGCCCTGTTCTGGGCAGGTGAGCCTGCCCTCCTCTTCTGGTGGTAGGGTTACACAAACACAGGCATTTCCCACCTCTGGCTAGGAAGACATAATGTACATAAACAGAAGGAAAAATACAAAGCCTCATACTCGTTGAGGGGACCTCAGATTTTTGCTTTTTTCCACCTGTCCTGTCCCCATGCCACCTGCCTGACACCTGGGTCTGAAAACCTGAAGCACTGAGAGCACCACACTCACAATCCTGCACACGCCAGCTTTCTGCCACAAGAACAAGAGGGGTGTAGGAAAAAAAATAAATAAAATAGACATGGCTTGCAGGCTGTTTGCTTCTTTCTGGTCTTGAAAAGCCTGAAGAAAATGGAGGAGTCCGAGAATGGGCACACCACTGCTTGTTCCTGATTAGAAACACCCACTGGCACTCACCTCAGTGTCCGGAGGACTGCGGCTTCTCCTGCCCTTAGCGAGAAGGCAGGAAGGCAAACACAGATTTTTGTCTTCTGGTAACAGGAACATTGGCAGAAGTTCTCCCACCGGCTCAGGGCCATTCCCAGGATTTATAGCAGGAAAATCCCACACTGTAAGGACTGATGTGTGGTTTTTGTTTTTGTTTTTTTGTTTTTTTTTCCAGCTTCCTCCATGATGCGAGGAACAAACCTCAGTGCCAATATGTGGAGAATTTCTAGGGGTGGCAGCGAGGATCTTTAATTTTAATTCTCTTCTCAAAAGTGTGAGCAGAGCTGCAAGCAGCCAGTCCCTACCTGGCTTTATGGTGAGCCAGCCCACCCCAGGGGTACGCTCCAGCTGTTATCCTCACAGGAGGCATCCAGAAACAAAGTTCCCTGAATCCAGACCAAAGTCTTTAATTCTTAAGACCATCCTAATACATGTACACCTACTGAAGTGCTGTTTTGATGGAAGAGAAAAGCTGTGAGGGGCAGAGGAGCAAAGTTCTCCTACAAGTTGCCCTTTTTTTAAAGTCAGAAGTGTTTTTTTTTGTTTGTTTGTTTTTTAAGTTAGAAGTGTGAGTTTTACCTTCAAGCATGTAAAACACTGAAATAAGCACCACTTATCTTGCTCTATCATCTGTATTCAGGTCAGTGCTACGTACCTCCAGTTAAAAAAAGCATCCACCAACTAAAGAGATCTTTTTCTTAACTCAAAAAATGATACACATACACGCAGGCAAGTTATCAGAAAAGACATTATATTTTGGTTTCCACCTCATTTGAAACTGATTTTGGTTTTCAATCAATCAAATCTGAGTATGACTGAGTTCAGTTTTCAATTTTTTTTTTTTCCCCATAACAGTAATGATCTGGACGACCATAATTATAAAAGGGACGGGGAGAAAACCCAAGAACAAGATACACAGTCTGAATTGTGCTCTCTTCCACACGAGCACTCCAGGGAATGTTAGTTTCAGCTCTTACTTTTTTTTTTTTTCCCTTCGGGTTGTTACTAACAAAATCTCTACCGTTTATTAAAGCAAAGCTACAGTAAATTTTCTTGCAGTCTTACAGCAGGTTTTCATATTACCAGTAGGACTCGCATGCATGGATTGCAGTCACACACACACGCTCACAGACATTATACAGTAGCCAGTTGCCACCATAAAAAGAAAAAAAAAAAAAAAAAGAAAAAGAAAACAGACATTCATTTCCTGTAAGTGGTCAACATCAGAATCGCACCAAACTTTTGGATTTAAAAAAAAAAAAAAAAATACTGCACAGGTCTTCCACATCTACATGGTAAAGTCATCCCTTCGCAATGGACGGAGCTCTCGTCTCCATTTGTTCAACATGCATCGCTGAAGCTTGAAGGCACGCTGGCCAAAGAGAGCCCTGTTCTTTTTTTTTTTTTTTTTTTTTTGTCATCTTAACTCAAGTGTGCTGCTCTCGGGGTGCAAAATAAGGAAAAAATAAAGCCAAGCCCTTTTGCAGCACACCAGGAAAAGGTCATTCGGAGACCACAGTACTTGGCAGGCAGCCCAGCTGCCCTGATTCTACTTCTAACTGTGCTCTTGGAGGCATTGAACAAATACACTTGTCTTTGAAAATGACATATAAAGGCAAATTTCTGCAAACCCTTTCTTTTCAGACTGCTTGTGGTAGACTAACACTCCTGGAAGAAACTGGTCCTTCAGTTACCAGCTTCAAGTGGGAAACTTCCTACCTGCTGTCTTAAACACTGAAGCACCAGAGATTATAGGGCTGATGTGTCGAGGCGTTCATCAGCTTTGGGAAAGTTTAACACACACACACACAAAAAAAAAAAAAGTTAAAATGAAAAGAAATCCACAATGCCTCAAGAGCACTATATCAAACCAGAACTCTTGGGCTACTGACTGCCGGCACTGTCAGAAGCTGCTGGCTTCTGGGAAGACACCTGGAGGTTGAAGCCTTATGGTGATTTCGTATCCTCCCAGGGTGAGATTTGCTGAGCTTTACTGATTGCGAGACAAAGCAGTGTTCTGGAAAACTAAAACCAACAAACTCATAATAACCATCACCAAAATCACCATTGGGAAAGTTCAATTTGCTTAGAAGGTCTCATTGAGAAACGTCACCCCCTGCCTCACAGAGCAGGATGGACATGATTAACAAAACCCAGAGCAACCCGTCCCCCACAAGCTGGGCCTTCGGGACTAGTCCCCGAATTACACCGGAGGGGAGGAAAACTAAAAAAAAAACGGTTGTATATCACCTTTTCCTCCTCTTAAAGTTTTAATCTGCTTATTTCACTTTTATTTCTTTGTGTTGTTTGTTTTTTATTTTTTACCCCCGATTCTCCCTTCCACTCTGCCACCTTAGCTGGGGGAGTTATTGGTACGAGAGTTTGGAGAGTCCTGCTCATTTATTGTGTTCAAGAGTACACACACCGGCTGCCGGGGCAGGTGGTGGTGGCTGTGTTCGCGGTGCTGCTCTTCCGCGGCATTAAAAAGCCCTTCCTCCTCGTCCCCGTGCGGGCGGCCGCTGCAGCTGTCGCAGAAGTCCAGGGGCCCATCCAGAGCATCGTCGATGAGCCCGTCGAACTCCTTGAGGTCGTCGTCGTGGTGGCCCCGGTTGCATACGCAGACCTCGATGCCCGAGTCGCCCGTGAAGCGGCGCTGCCTGCCCGGCGTCTTGTCCTTGGCGTCGGGGATGGCGCTGCTCTGCTCTAAGCTCTCAGAGCTGTAGCCTTTTAGCAGTTCCTCCTTGCACTCCGTATCCTTTTCGGGACTGGCCCTCTCCACTAGCTCAGCTCCCGTGCTGGTGCCACCACCGGGCTCCACGCTCTGCATTTTGGCAACTGCTCGCTCGACCAGCGCGGCGGTGGAAGGCTCGGGGTCCCCGAGGCCGGGGGACCCGGTGTTGTCAGTACTGCTGTTATTGCCGCC